GTGTGGAGTTGCAGGTTGGAGGAGTCTGGCGTCAGCGGATGAGGCCCGATGTTGTCGAGGAAGGAAGGAGATGCAATAGGAGATCAGAGGTATGATTATTTCGTAAAGTCTGGAGAAAAAACAGTGCACTTAGCGCTCTGGTGGAGGAATCTCGGTCAGTTAATTATCCCCTGCGGTTTTAAAAAGGGTCAAATGCGACGTCAGGCTTTGATCCATGCAGGAGGGTATAGGTGGCCAGATGGTGGCGATACGCGATACGTGAATTTGCGTGTAGGTCAATGAGAGGATGTCTAAAAGAAGTAACCTGTACAGATTTTGGTCGACGCGAAAGCTTCAGTCCGATACATTCTTGATCCGGCTGTGCATTTTTCTTGGATTTATGGCCCTTCAATCAAATTAGGAAGTAGGTACTGGAAGCGTGCACTATCTTTTTCCAACTTTGTGTTCATATTGGGACTATTGTCGGCGGGTCTTTTAAATCTATGAGCAGATAATTGTGCTGTGTGTCGCGGGTTTGACTATCCTGTGTCTCTGGTTGCCATGCTAGAGAGAAGCTGACGGCTAAGACCTTGAAGCTCGCTCAGCAAGGTAGAAATGGGTTGTGTACGGGATCAGGCCTTGGAACTCGACTTGAGCGCTTGAGAACGCTGCCTGCCCGTGACTTCAACAAGAAGACTTCTATGGTTGTTCAAGAAACTACGTGATGATAATGATATCAATTTCAGCCTCTGGAGTAGTGCTGGACATGGGGCAAAGAACTCTCGAGGAGATCGCTCACGGGCTGTATATATCTATTAAGTGTGTAGGAATAATTTTGCTTTTTGTGGGTATTGCATATTCTTTATCTTTTACATTGTTAAGTATCCATTTAGAACACCGATGCTGCCTGGGGCTTGTAATCATCTTATCAGTCTGGACAAGAATCTTACAAATATATTAGGCAGATGCTTCGAAATGAAAGTCATGAAGCCCTCCTTCCTTCTCCTCGTTCTTTATAAGGGCATCTATCATATCTTTTTTGCTTTTTTAATACCAATTTTTAATACCAATGTATGCATAACACCCTTCTTTTGCCTCGGACTCGTGATCAATCAATCACTATGGATGGGTACTTTGCAAATATCTTACGCAGATGCTCCCGAAACCCCACCAGGTTCGTCGGCCATGCCTTGGAGTTCTCATAAAAATTTTGCTGCGTCTCCTCGTACTTCGTGAGGGCATCAAGCACAATCGGGATCTTATGGCAAGAATTTCGACGGCACGAGGGCCGCTCGTCCAGTTTCTTGAGCTTTTCGATCATTTCCTCCTTGCTATCCGTGGCCTTCACATAGCCATGTCCCAAAAGCGTCTGTGTAGCCACTCGCACATTATCCTCAAAGCTACGACTATGGTAATGCACAAAGGCAATACCTGGCGCTACTGGTGATAGACCCCCTGCGTGGCTTCCAAGAGTGAAGTAGTTAGGTTGAAATTTCTCCCCGCTGTAGAACTGCTTGAACTTTTTTGCCTGCACGCTCGAGGAACGCTCACTCTCTGTCGGTGATCCGCTTGTCACGGGGGCGGCAATGTATATATGATCCACTCTTAAGGTGGCGTTCCATGCATTGGACGCCGGGAGCAGAAGTGCTGGATTTGTCAATGCTGGCCCATCGTCTCCGCCGCCTTTGCCAACCAAGAACTCGTCCGTATCCACCTTGAAAATCCATTCATATCCATCTTTGATTTCGTCGATCCATTGTGCTAGCTCTTGGGTGATTCCATTCAGGTCCACCAGGCTGTGCTTGACGTGGATAGGGTACAACGCTGCAATGGAGTCTAGGTACGCCTTTTGTGGACCGATGCTGCCGTCGAAGACGTAAATGTTCTCAAAGCCAAAGACATCGCCGTGGTATGCGAGGAAGCGCGAGAGGAGGTTCATGTCATCTTTTGTCATGACCATGAGGGCAACGGGTTTCCTTGCTTTGGGGGTTGGTGAGGTAGGGAGCGCCCAGAGAGAAGATTCAGTTACGCTGGCTTGCTCGCAGGTTCTATCGCTCTTGATAATCTTTAAAGGCCCGTCCGTTCTATTGGCATAGAGACTAAGATAGCCTCTATCGGACTGAGATAGTGTGTTGGGCATAGCGACTCCTATGCCTCGAAGGTCCTCGATCCAGGCGATTGCCAGGTCCACGTCCAGAGGGTCGTGCAAGAAATCCATCTCGTACATGGCTACCGCCATCTCCTCTATCATGCCTTCCAGGTAGGGGGAGACTGGGCGCCATTTAAGTAGCCATGACACGAGGGCGCCCGCCCGTTCATAGAGATCGCTCTCGGCGTCGAAGTCAGCCAGGTAGCTGTGGGGGTTACGACACTGCAGTGGGATAGCACAGGATAGAGTATGAGAGGCTGATTGGTTAGGGTTATAGGACTGGGAGGGCCAACGCTCGTGGGGGGGGGGGGGGGGTTAGTCAAGCTTTGCCTCGAAAGTTTCTGATTTTGAAAAAGAGGCCCTGCCTCGTCCATTGCTTTTTCGGGGGGACATAGGGGCCGGAGGAGCCCTCTTCTCCCTGGATCTGGCCTCCATTCATCTCTCACCTGCGTGACAAACGGTGAAGCAAACGCCACCCGTTGCCCTGCTTCCCACATGATCCTCCCGGTAATGTACGAGCGCCAAATGTCCGACACTCTCCCATGCACGGTGATGGGAAGGAGCATACCCCAGAAAGCGGCCTTGCCGAAGACCGTTGCCTGGGCATTGAAAGGGGTCATAACACCCGGGGGAATGACCTCGAATCTGGCCCTTCCTCCCGAGCGGAAACTCAAGGGGAGGTGACTCGTCAGACGGTATAAGGCGTCAACATCAGGATCGTGATCGGCCAGGCTCTGCACGATGGTAATTACTCCTCCTTCGTGGGTCCCTTCCTCCACCCCGCGACTGACGTTCCAGGTGCTTGCATCAGTGATGAGATCCACAGGAAAACCACGCGGCCACACGAAAGCAGGGCTCCCATCCTTCACGTTCACGCTATCAAAACTCGGGTAGGGATTATAGACGTGGGACTGACCAGGTCGCACAACATCCTTCGACGTAGCAAGCTCGCCCAGGCTGAAATCAGGTATGAAAGGATTGCCTTCGCTATCAACTTTGAGGATGTTGTCGTCGTCCGTGTCATAGATCATTTCGGCGCCGTGGTGCATGGCATAAAGAAAGCCAATGTTTTTACGACCGAAGTGGTTCCATCTTAGGAGAGGGATGATGTGGTACGGCAATGCTTCTGTGACAGGTGCAAGCACGGCGAATGATGACAACCAGTGATAGAGATGCGACGTGAGTGTGCGTTTTTAATACTATCCCGCTGGTGTCGCATAACCTTACCTTGCTCTTCTGGACTCAAAAATACTAGGTTGTCACTTGGGATATCATAAGTGGGTGGGGACTGTGCAGTAATGCAATGATAAATAGTTGTCATGATAATCTCATCATACTTGTCATAGTTAAGGTGGCGACCAAGGACAAAAACGGTGGCCGAAAAATTGTTTCATACTTCCTCACCTTTTTATCCCCGACAACCACCACACACCAATTTTTCATCCCTGCAAGTTGCTTCACAAGTACAGTAGGCTCAAACATCGTCGTCACCACGGCCCATTTCTTGCACATAAGCTCCTCTGAACTACGAGGATATAGCTTATATGAAATAGCTGAGGTTGAACCGTTGCTGCTAAAGGGGCGAGGACCATGGTAGGTCCTTCTCTTAGCAGCCGCCATGAATACTTGTCCCCCGTGTGCTCCTTTTACTTCCGCCATGCCCCTCGCCGCTTGAATTTCGTCGTCGAACGGAAAATTGTTGTGTGAGAAGAGGGCCTTGACTGAGAAATGCGGTCGGGCCCCGTGGTTCACACTCATGACATGTAAAACCACCAGCACAACAATGGGAACAATCCATAAGCGGTTCCTTTCCCCAAAATTCCTCATGTTGCTGGCCAGCCTGATAGCGTGGAAGGGTGTTTTCGAATAGGGGGCGCGGGAAACGATATATGGAAAAGGAGGCAGTCAAATTCCTGTGTTGCCTTATCTTTATTTGTCCTCCGAGTAAAAATTAAGTGCCTTCTTACATTTGGCGAGGGAGAAGAGGACTGCCAATTCCATGAAAATGGCCCAAGATACTGGCAATGATAGACTGTAAATTGTATAATCCAAATAATCCATACACTATATGTATGAGACTTCAATATTACATCCCGCCACCATGCAAAACGGCTTACGTAAACCGACAGTAGGCTAAGGACAGCAACGTGAGGTATGGCATACCCGCCAATAGCTCGGCCAGAAATCTCTTGTCCGGATGTGCAATACTCGTCGCACTTAGAAAGACATGGCAGCAGAGCTAATTCCGTACCTTAGAGCGTGATATAGCTTATTGGTCGCATGTCGATGTAGTCTAAGAAGTGCAGCAACGGGAGTTCATTCCAAAAAACCGAGTCCAACTGTGAGTAAACGCATTTTGAAAAAGGTAACGGCTCATTGAGCAATAGAACACGTTGCCACATGGTCCTCAGGATAATGGAGTTGCCGAGAAGTCATGGCACATACTATCGAATATGGTTCGGAGTCTTCGTATACCAGCCGGATTAGGAAAACGTTTTTGGGCAGAAGCCTTGAACACTGCTGCCTATATTTTAAACCGAACCAGGAATTCCGCATTGGGGCCAGGGGAAACGCCCTACTACAAGATGTTTGGAAAACACGCGAATATGAAGTATTTTAGAGTTTTTGGATGCAAATCATTCGTCCATGATACATCTACTGCGAGAGGAAAATTTGATGATCGTGCTTTGGAAGGAATCATGATTGGCTACGATGACATAGGGAACAACCCTAAATGTTATCGAGTTTATATACCTTCTATTGGAAAATACAACAAATCTGGTCATGTGACATTTGATGAGGCAGCATTTCCAGCAGTGAAGCAAAAACAACCAATTAATAACATTGAATTTCACGAGGATAGAGGAGAGGACAATATAGAATCTATGGAGACAGCGGGGGCTCATCAGCAGGATGAGCAACGACCTACTGACGATGATGGTAGCATCGAAGATGATTTACATCAAGATGAAATACCCGATGATCGTGATGTCGATCACGTCAGGGAGGATCCGTCGCAAGTGGGGGCGAAAGGATGGAAAGACACGGATAATATTATTCAAAATATGAATAATATGGGGCGCACGCGAAGCAGGACAAAGGCTCGCGAACATCATCGATTGGATGATGGATTAGTAACCATGGGAGGTAATTTAGCCTTTGCTGCAGCCTCAGAAGTCGTCAATGAGGACTATCATCACACGGAAGATGAGAGTGAGGTGCAAGCTGTTAGGGTTAGGGTTAGGATATTAGTCGTACAGAAGAACTAATTAGGTATTGGGTTACCTGTGGCATTTGGTTTGTTTATACGCATCACGGACATGTATTCAGTGCCCACCTTTGCCAGGGCCAATGTAGGGGTTGCCAGGTACACGCTCGTACCGGCCCAATTTTTCATTGTTCGGAGGTCCTACACGACCTCCACCATTTTTCTTTACGAGGCATTCTATTTCCTTATGCCCGTATTTACTGCATCAATTCCAGTACCAATTGAAGCTTATCGCTAAGCATTGGTCATCCTTGACCTTATTAGCAATATTAGTCACAAAATGATTGATCATTTTGGACTTCAAATTAGAATACGTCATAGAATCTTTTTTAAACTCACTTTTACCATTCCATATACCGATGGAATTTTATTAATCAAGTGAGTCAGTAGTATAGACTCATCGACTTCAATATCAAATCGATGCTTAATCGTTCTAGCTAATTCCTCAGCTGCCTCAAAGGTCTCTCCCGGATCGCCATTCTCATCGAAATTAAGTTGGTTTAACTCGGAAATAAGTAACGCCTTTTGCGTCTCTCCCTTTAAATCATATTTACCCTTGAGTGCCTGGAATGCGCTAGCTCCGTCTTTATCCAGTCTTAATTTCTCAGTTAGGCTTGCTGCCGCACCTTTGACGTACTTCTCAAGGGTGAAATAACCCTTGGCATTCTTATCATTATAAGAAGATAAATCATCCCTCGAGGTAGGCATTTTTGCAAATCCAACGAGAACATCTGCCATCTCTAGGTCCTTAGCACCAATGTAGCTTTCAATCTCACCTTTCCAGATGTCTCCGTCTTCCAATCTTCCACTGAAGATCGCCATCCTATAGTCATCTTGATCTCCCATTACTTTACGGTTGTTATCTCGGCCAGCCGAATTTAAAGCCTGCCGAGCCAATTGATTCTTGTCGTTTGATCTACCAACCAATTACCAATTGAAAGCAGTCATAACTCTCTGCAAATACAATTGCACCAGAGAGATTCAGTAAATAAGTCCTCTATTTCTGCAAATCCAATTGCACCAAAAATAGGACGTCGATCAGTGTCTTGAATAATCAGATATTTGTTTTGTTCAAAGGTTAGGTCGAATAGGGCCCACAACCCGATGCAAATAAACAAACCAAAACGCCGCGGGTAAGCCAATACCCAATTAATTCTTTAGTACGACCACTCAGGGAGAATACATACCAAACGATTCAACAAAGAATCCCGTACTAAGATAACCAAAAGACAATCAAAGACAACCAAAGACACTCGTCGACGCCGGTCCTGTTGTCGTACAGTAATATGAGATACTAATGATTTGGACGCAAACCATGACATGACACGATGGCGATCAGCACATCGTAGTACAGACCGTAGAGCCCATAGCGGATATAATCCTGTAAACCGGCTTAAACCGCTCTTTCTACCATCGATCGCTGATCTCCTGTTCCCTCAGCGTCATAATCATGTCATTTCTATATTCGCGTCAAGAAGAACCCCTGTAAAGGAAAATCCACGGAAAGAATCCTCCGTCAGGGATCACCGAATCGAACCAATGTGACAGCGTATGCGACTATGGGTTGCTTGACAGTCAGATATCCTCCCAAGCAAGCTCCGTAGAAGTTCGATGTCGTTTTTTTTCCATCATGTTTGAGAACTACCAAGGTGTAATAGGCATGAATAAGTTGATACCAGCGTTATTTACCTCCGGTGAGGGCTCTTTCAATAGTGAATGAGGCCCGAAAATGAAGAAGTCTTCGCACCCGCTCACAGGAATACAGTATTCCTCAAACGTCAATTCATGGCGGCTTTCATTGCATTATGCTCTACCCTAACCCATTCGAGCAGTACGCGCACAGAGCAGGCAAGTAGATACCAAGCCCCAGCCACGTATTGAAACGGCCAACTCGTTAACGGTCGTGTGGTTTCTCACGACACGTCGAACGTTTGAAAATTCTGTGCAAGGATCCCAATGCATGGGGCCTAAGTTAAGATCGTTGCCAGAGCTAGTACTGTCTTGTCAGATCGAAAAGTCTAAAAGCTATCTTTGGATGCAAATGGTACTCCAATAACTGAGACAAGGATTCTTGTTTCCACGCAAGCTAATCTTCATATCCCCAAGCTGTATACTAAAACAGCCATGGGCGTTCTTTCTTGGAACGACCACGTGCCACGTGCCTTTTCTCGTAGCGACGGGGGCTTTTCTAGTACAATAATGCTAATGGACTGCCAGCGCATTCATTTATCGCATGTTTCCCAATAGAATTGAAATAAATTGAGTGAGGATTCCCGTTTACGCACCCAGATGGTTATGGAATCCCCTTCTTTTTCATGTGCCGAAGCTGTCACTTTCAAACCGGCACGAACATACGGCACGTGCCCATTCTTCGAAGAATGGGAGTCTTCCTTGCGGAAAAATGTTTCTGGACTACTGATACTTAATCTTGTCACGTGCTGGCCACATTGTCTGTTGAGGTCTGCCAACGAGGTCGTAGCTTCAGCTCCTTTGTTTCATGGCACGTAAAAGAGAACTTTGCTGAGTCCCGTGGGCGCCAACGGAATCAAGGAAACAGACATTCTTGACATGGTTGAGTCATCTACCACACCTAAAAAATCTTTGAGACATTGTAGATAGCTGTATAACATTTGATTTGTGTATATTGGACTGATGTTTTAGCATTTTCTTACAGGTCGACCTGTCCCGACCTTCTAAACCAATCTATATGCGCCCATATTCAAGCACAAGTCCACGCATTCCAAAATTAAAGATGTCATTTGCATTTCCCTCGTCGCTCTCCTGGGTTTTGGAAGCATCTTCATCTCGGTCTCTCAAGAGTGTCCGCGGCTTTTTCTAACGGATAAAGTCAGGCCAAATCCTAGGCGTGGGATCGTGGCCGCGAAGGGAAAAGCTAAAATCACAACTACACTCAAGAGTCAAGATCCCGTGGACAACGTGGAGTTTCAGTTGAACCTGCCGGACGGGATATTGGTTGAGCGAACAGCAATGCATCCGTCCTCAAACCCCATCCACCGCCACAAATTGTTGTGGAGGCGGATGGAGCGACAGCTCTTTACTGGCAGCGCCTCGCTTTCGCCAAACGCAAGGGGGGTAAACACCTCTTTCGCGTCAAGGTAAAGGCTCACGAATGTGCCCATGAGACGCTGGCGGTGGATGTGTTCGCTTATCTAGTGAATGCGACTGACACCTCGTGCATCACGCCGCTGGCCAACCCCGCCATCGTGAAAGTGCGATACTCAAAACGCAGCAAAGATGCGACTTGCGCGCCGACTCCGGCTCCTTCCATCAATCCCACGCAGCCCTTTGTGCTTTTTGGTGAAGGACAGCGATTCTCTCGAGGGGAGCGCCTGGCCCCCTTTCAAAACCATTTATCGATGCTTTCGTCAATCAACAGGCATGAGGATATTGTGGCCCTCCACCATCTTGGAGATCGACAGCTGCAATCGATCGACTCCCCCCAAGCTTGCTATGAATACCGCTCGCTGAATGGGGGCCAGGAAACGCTTTTCTTCTTCAGCTAGAATAGCGTTACCAGCCAGTGCTTTTGCTGCGTCGGCGTTTGCACATCCCTTCCCTTCGATTCTGATTACAACGTGTACGAAGTGCGCCTGCGCAAGACGCTACCCCCAATGTCCATGCCTAGTTCAGCATCCACTCGCAGTATTGTCCCTTTTTCAAAGCGAGAGGCTCCAAATATGTCACCTTTCTAGGGAGAAGATATATCGACTGGTACTATGTCTAGACTTCCGATGAATTACTCTCCCTATTGCAATGATTTCTGTTATGATGCAATGATTTCTGTTATGACATGCCAATTAATTCGTGCCATTCAAGGTCACTGGTGATGGCCCCTGCTTCTCGTGGCAGGATGCGCTGCCGAGGACATCCTCGCGTCTCTCTGTGAGCATCAACGGAACCAAGCATGATATATATTGTCGTTGCATTTTAGATGTAAAATATCGAATCAATGCACTTCTACCCGTATTGCAGATAGCTGCATCACCCAGAATTCATGTATACCTCGAGCTCATGTTTCCGCATTTTTTAACCATCCGATCCGTCGGAAGCTTCAAAGCGAGATCCACAGGTGCCCTTTCAAGCACAGATTCAGCGTAGCAGAGTATGAAAATTGCTTTAAGCGCATTCCTTGTCGCTCTCCTGGGCTTCACAAGCATTTTGACCACCGTCTCTCAAGAATGTCCGCGGCTTTTTCTCAAGGCCAAAGTCAGACCGAATGCAAGGCGCGGGATCCTGGCAGGGAAGGGTCAGGCCAAGATTACCGTCACGCTCAACAGCAAAGACCCTGTCGACAATCTGGATTTTCAACTGAACCTGCCAAATGGCTTAACGGTAGAGCGGACGGCAATGCGCCCGTCCTCAAAGCCCTATACGCCGCCGCAAATTGTTGAGGATACGGATGGAACGACTGCTATTTACTGGCTCGGCATCGCCTTCACCAAAAGCAAGGGAGGAAAGCGCCGCTTTCGCGTCAAGGTGAAGGCTGACAAATGTGCCCCTGAGACGTTGGCGGTGGATGCTTTCGCTTACCTAGTGAATGCTACCGACGCCTCGTGCATCACGCCACTGGCCAGCCCCGCCACCCTAAAAGTGCGATACTCGAAACTCAAAAATGCCGCGACTTGCGCGCCGACGCCAGCTCCTACCATCAATCCTACGCAGCCTTTTGTGCTGCTCGGCGAGGGCCAGCGGTTCTCTCAAGGAGGGCGCCTGGCCCCCTTCCAGGACCGTCGTCTCTCGGCGCATCCCGGATCCAGCAAGCATGGAGGCATCATGGCTCTCGGGCAAGCTGGAGACCGACACCTGCAGTCAATCGATACCCCGGAGGCTTGCTATGAATACTGCTCTCTGAACGGGGGCAAGGTAGTACCGTTCCTCTTCAGCTGGAATACCGTGACTAGCCAGTGCTTCTGCTGCGTCGGAGTGTGCACACCCCTGGTCTTCGATCCTGATTTCAACGTGTACGAAGCGCTCTTGCCTAAGACGTCTTCCCCGACTTCCATTCCTACTGCGATAC